TATGCATTACGGTGTAATTAAGTGAGCATATTGACGTCATCGACCTCGTTATGTTTTACGTCATATGAATAATTAATCAAAGGCCTAAGCTAAGTTAGTTGGGTGGACGGCGTCAAAAAAACATAAAGTTATTTATCTAGAATTGGAGGAACCAAACTAAATAGATCTGTAGAATTTTTTTTTATAATATTGATAGCAAATTAGGTCATAGTCCTGACCTGATGCTATGACCTATCATCCTAGACATCCATAATCTATCATCGATTAAGCATCAAAATGCAGATGCGTTTTCACCCATGAGGACCGAGATGGAATGCCTCGTTACCAATGAAAAGGGTCTCCGGTTTTCAGCCCTTAAATGTCTGCTGTTGCTCATGGTAATATACAGGTGTAAGATGGATGTTTTAATAGTCACGCTTGGAGGCGGGTTGATGATCACAGTACTAGATTATACGTGTTAGAGCCACGCTGCAACTATGTTATGGTTTTTTTTTTTTTTTTTAAATGTTATGGTTGTAGCACGAATGGGTCTGCTCGACCGGGGTAGGACCACGCTCTCACAGAATATCAGCGTAAAATAGCAGTTTAATGCTGCTGTGTTTTAACTGTATTATTAAGCAAGCAAATATTATAGTTTTTGTAAGAAAAATAATAATATTAGCTATAAGATATGACATAAGATATGATGAATGTAGAGAACCGGAGAACCTTTTTATTGGAATCGAGGCATGATTCTTAAATGAGGATGAGTGCAGATGCCTATGGGCCACAGTATCCACTTACCTTCAGATATACTGTGTGACTTGTCACACATATTGCACTAGTAATGACTTATCCTGCACAATTTTAGATGCAAATTATACCAAATATTACCTCTACATAAATTGTTCCTAACAATTATGACATCCATTATGTACGTTCTTTCAAATTTTCTTGTTTGTTAATATTAGCAATTTTTGTCGTTAATCGGCAAATGAAGTGTTCACCTGTAATAACCTGTTAAAATGTAGCTTTACTTTACTTGAAAAATATTACAAATGTGTAACGTGTTATGTTGTTTATATTCCAAGTAAATAACAAATAATAGTTTAAAAAAACTAAAAGAACACTTTTTTTTTAAAGAAAATGGTGATTAACATAAAAAATCATTTTATTGTAAAAAAGTGTGATGTGGTTTTTCAGATATTTTAATGATGACGCAAATTTCACAAATGTCCATAAAAATATTTACAACAAATGACATCAAGCACGCCGCGCTTTTTTACAATAAAATGATTTTTTTTTATGTTAATCACTATTTCCTTATTTAAACTTATTGAAAATTATTTTCTACTTTTTAGTTCGGTTACCTACAAAATCGTGTTTTTAGTTGTTTTTAAACAGTGCGGCTAACTACAAAAGAGTCTTTTTTTTTAACTGGCAGAAATCATAGTTGTTCTATGAATTATAAGCAAATCCTGAGGATCCTGGCAAGGATAATGGGACAAACTAATTAAATTATTGCATTGTCATCGGTCCTCGATAAGTGTGCGAAGTTTCAAACATATCCGACGTTTTGAAGGGGATGAAAATCACATACAAAAATTCAGTATGTTCTAGCAAGCCATAGCAAGCTAATAAAAGCGTGTTTAAAATAATATTATTTTCATGTAGAGGTTAACAATGATTTCGCTTAAATAATGAGATGGTGAAGTTCACATAAAACTGACAAGTTATAAAAAGTTTGATCATAATAGGTATGTTTGTTTACGAACATGAAATGCATATGTTTATGAAGATATTAAAGCATGTTTACAAGTAATTATATATCTAGTTCAATTTCAGCTTTACTCGTGTGATTTAAGTGTAAAATGTTCAAGATAGACAGAGACAGCATTCCATAACAGACTCCCCCTTGAAGTGCGTAACATTTTACGTTATAATTAGGGGTCGCAAAATACTTTCCCGCGCTTGCGCGAATCAATAATCTACCCCGTACAATGACCCAAAAATCCAAGCACAAAATACACTACAGTATTTCCATTGCTGCTTTTGCTCTAAATTTCCTAAGGATCTTTAAGTAAAAACGTTAATGGATAACGATATTACATTGATTAACTCGAAGAAACAATGTTTGGTGTAGTCATAATGAAAGCTCGCGTCTGCGCCCTTCATCCTTGGACCAATTTCTGTGCAAGTGTAACTTAAAACTGTTGTAAAGTGCTGTGTTTTGTGTAAAAAATATATAGAAATACATATTATGTGAGTAATACAATCACTTTAATTCATTAATTATCTTAGAAACCCTAAGATTTCTATATCTAATGTATCTGGTTAAGAGTATAAAGTTTATAAAAATATGTTTTAAGACTGATTTCGATTCTCAAAATTATCAAATATTTTTTTCTTTTTTTAAGGTTTGGAAATTTCAGTTGTGTTTTGTTTACTACCATACGAAATGCGGTGTTGCAACCTGAAACCCTTTTTACTGGGTTCGAAGCATTCCATCTTAGTTCTCAGGGGTGATCTATGACAATGTATATCTAGAATCTACATATTGATTCTCAATGGAGGATAACTGTAACTCCTATTGGTCACTATCCACTTAACATAAGATGGACTGTGTGCACGCTTATCACCCTTATTCTATAAAAAAAATGCTTACATTCTTTAAGCAAGCACAAGCTTATAAGTTGATAAAAGGGCGAGGGTCCCGTCATTTACATTGCTTAGAGGCCTCTTCATGGCTTAATCCGACGTCATTCTCTTCGTGGCTCTACCACGTAAGAAGTATAAAGTTGACACTATTGGTTATTTTCAACCGACTTCAAAAAAGGAGGAGTTTCTTAATTCGACTGTATTTTTTAATTTGAAAGCTAGTGCTTCTCATGTGGTCCCATATAAGTCTGATCAAGATCTGACCAATACTTTTTAAGTTATTCTTAATAATGCGTATTTAATTGACTTCGACTACATAGATGATCTACTCATTTATTATTATTATTATTATTTTTAAAAACGTTACCTTCACACTAGGATTTTCTCCTGTATCGTGGGGGCAGTTTACATACATATATTTTACAAGGACAAACATCCAGACCCGGAAAAATTATTTATAGGCCGTACAAATACTTGTTCCGTGCGGGATACGAACCCGCGGCCCCCAGCGCAGCAACTCATTGCTAAGCCACTGCGCCACGGAGCCGTCATTTTATTTATATTGAAGCCGGTTGTTCGTAATTTTTAATTTTACCACTTGTACCTGGCTGCTATCTTACTGTTTGAAAGCTGGAATGCTAATCGTAGCCATAATTTGTCAAAAAAGACACAAAAGACACCTTTCTAAAAGGCCGGCAACGCATCTGCAATTCCCCTGGTGTTGCCCGTGCCCGTTCCCCGGTGGGTTGTTCATGGGCGGCGGTAGTCACTTACCATCGGGTGAGCCGCATGCTCGTTTGCCCCCTCTTCTATAAAAAAAAAGACAAATTGTATGTTTCCGTCTCTGGTTGGGTTATGTTGTGTACTCGTGTGCCTAGACCAGTCTACCTCCATAGAACAAACTTAAAAAGAGGAGGGGGTAGATTAACACTTTCACCGTCCGATTTCCAGACACAATAGTAAGAACTATACGTAGTACACTGTTAAGATAAGTGACACTTCGTTAAAGGATACACTTATTTCAATATTAGGATTGTCACCCCTACTATATTTTTATAGTATAAGGGTGACAAACGAGTGCACAGTTCACCTGATGGTAAGTGGATGTCGTAGCCCCTAGACATCTACATTTATCATCGATTAAGAATTAAAATGCGGTTCTCTATACTCACCATACGAAACGTAGCAGCAGCATTAAGATGCTATTTTACGCTGGTATACTCTGAGAGCGCGGTCCTACCGGGTCGAGCCAACCCATTCGTTCTACAACCATAATATAGCTGCAGTGTGGCTCTATCACGTATATATTTGTGTATATTTAAATAAAGTATAAGCTGTAATAAAGGTTTAAAACAGCAAAATAAAAAAAATATATTTGAAATAAAAAGTTTGCAACTTCAGCAAGATAATATCTCCAGCATAGTTGAACTATGAATATCACCGTGACTGAATTAGAACAAGACAGCATCGTTATTATTTTCTAGTTTTTTTTTTATACATTAAAGTTGACAAATATACACACAATCAACCTGATGGAAAGTAAATGCTGTGGCCCATGACATCTAAATATATACTCAATTGAGAATCACAATGCAGTTGTGTTGCCACCCCTGAGGACTAAGATGGAATGCCTCGTTTCCAGTCAAAAGGGTCTCCGGTTTTCTACACTCACCTTACGAAACACAGCAGCATTAAGCTGCTAATTTAAAGTAAAGTGCTGCTAAAGTGAAGTAGTAAAGTAGTGAATGTGAAAGTAGTAAAAGGAAAAAAGAAAGAAAGAACTATTTATTTGATACACGCATTTTATACTAAGTTCAAGAAATATATAAACGCAAGGGGCAAAAATATGCATGCACCAATCTAAGACTGCTTATTCATTAATTAATTGTTAATACGTAAGCAGTGCATGTACATCATTAATTAATAATATAAACCTAGCAAGCTAACAGCATAGCAAAGTGGCGAAGCAATCAGCTTTGTAGCGGTTTCTAACGGTTGCCGTTGAGCAATCAGTTTCAAAATAGGAGATTCAGATGCCTGGGTGATCAGTAATAGATTGCTGAAAACAGAATTTGAAAATTCAAAACCGTTCTCGAGATAATCGTGGGACAGACGGACAGACGGACAGACGGTCAGACATCGTGAAATCTATAAGTGACTTCGCAAGCTTCGCCACTTAATAACAAAAAATATAAAAAGGAAATGAAAATTAAAATATAACATCAAATAGGTCTTCAATTCAGCATCGCAGCGCTGGTTTTCAGAGCATTGTGACTTCAGTGAAAAGTTGGTGTGATCCTTCAATTACACGTTAAAAAAAAGGTAGGTTTAGGTATTAAAATAAATAACTGTTCAAAGCCAGGATGTCGTGCGGGACAGAATGCCTGTCGCTGGGCCCGCCGCCCGACTCGATAGCGCGTATGCCGCCGCCCCCGCTGCCCGCATTCCTGGCCAGCGCTGCCAACCTCACACCGCCTTGCAAGGCTGCCAAGTGTCCGCCGCAAAGCAACAACGAAATCAACGCTTTCTTCCCGGGCGTTGAGTACCATGAGCTACCCCGACATGGTAAGTGTCTATGATAACTTTATAACTATTTAGGTACGTCTCGTCCCGCAAGCCAGAATGTTCAAAAATGTGCGATAAAAATATAATCTCTCGTAAGGTATTTGTGGCAACTGTACGTGATATATGCATCGGCCTATGTATTTTACATCCTCGGACCAATAACACAAGAAGCACGGAGCGCTGCGTACATCAAGTGAAAAACAAATCCAAAACCATTCTTAACTTACTGACACGCACTTCCGCATACATGAACCTAAAATCATTGCAACCAACAACATAGTTTTAGCAGTATATGATACAGTGAATTTTACGAACTGAAAAAGAAAGAATAAAGAAATATTTTTGCGTGTCAAGAAGTTTAGCACGTCTATCTTTTTTTGGTCAGACATTATATCTATATAAATAAAATGACAGAGGTTTACAATTGCGCGCGCATAACGGAAAAACTAAGTACTGAATAGATTTCAATTAGGTTTTCTAAGTTTTATTTCTTTCTCTTTTCTTCACTTGGCCCTTATCTAAAAAATTATTGCGATATCTTCGTTTAATATAAAGTTATTAAAATATTTAAGAAACAACGATTTTCGTACGGGGTTCTTGAAACGGTCAACTCTACGTAGCATGCTCTCGCGTTACTAACCCAGATAAGTTATATAGGTATTTTAACCACAAACGGAGTAACGAATAACATTGTTTACGAAGAAATTTTGTCTTTTTGATGTTTTTTCCTTCGCACATACGAAAACTGTTAATATATCAAGCAACGCGGACTAAGTCGCGGGTATCAGCTAGTAATGCGATATCTTTTTATGAGGTGTTAGTAAATAAAATAATAAAAAATGTCAAATAAAATAAATGTCAAAAACATAATATTCCAACAAAAATAAACAACAAATGAAAATAATATTAAAATGATTTGTATTTATGACTATAATCGGCTATTTCTGTCCAACTGTAAGAGATACATGCCATATGTTTATATCCGACATTATTTAAACTTAAGACATCATCACTGTAATGGCTCAGTTATGATTGAACCAGTCAATAAGTTAGGTCAGTTTGGCCAGCTAAGGAACTAGTATCTCCTGCTGGATGACATGTTCAGTCGGAGGACCGGCCAATACTAAGTTACCATTATTATAATATGCCAAGTAATTCGAAAACTTCGATAGCGTGATTTAGACTTCGGTTATTGTGCGGTCCAATAACGCTATTGTGAAGCTACTGCATCACTGCCTTAATAGGATGGAATTATTTAATGAAACTATACGCCATTTTTATTAAATGCAACAAAATGGATGTTTTTTTTTATAGATTATGGGTGAAAAACGAGCAAACAGTCCACCTGGTAGTAAGTGGATGCTGTGTCCCATAGACGTCTATCTTTAATTAAGAATCAAAATGCAGATGCGTTGTTGCCCTTGAGAATTAATATGGAATGCCTACGTTTCCAATAAAAAGGGTCTCCGGTTCACTACACTCACAATACGAAACACAGCAACATTGAGTTGGTTTACGCTGGCATTTTGTGACGGCATGGTCCTTCCCCGGTCGAGCCGACCCATTCGTGCTACAATCACAATATACCTGCATCATGGCTCTACCATAAATGTGTTAAGTCTGGATGTGTTAACTCGCACAGAAATATTTTTGCAGAGCCGGCTGGTTATGACGACACATGGTTTCTGGTGCTGATCAGTTGCTGCATCGCCGTCCTCTGCATAGCTGCTTTGCTGGCGCTGTTTCTGCTTAAATGTAGAGAGTAAGTAGTGTAGTAACTGTAGCCTTCAATTGATTGTTTTTCTAAGTGAAAATATTTAAAATTTGGCATCAGATTACAATAGTTCATTTCTCGATATAAAATCCTACCCAAATTCATGATGTTCAGTTCACTGCTCAACATAGATTACTTACCTTATAGGAATACCATCTGATGGGATAATTGAAAGAATTGCATAATCGGCACGCTGCTTAGAATAATGCAGTTGGAAGCTTCCATTACTGACTTCCATTAGATGTGTAATGTTATAATTATTTTGAAGGATGTCAATATAAAACGTTAGAGGAACACTTTAGCGGAAGAAACATATTTATTTTACTTAACATAGAAATAATTATACTTTTAAATTAAAAATTTTGTACAACCGACTTCAATATATATATTATTAAGGATAACTCAAAAACTATTGGTCAGACCTTGATTAAATTTATGGGGTCACATGAGAAACCACGTTTCAAATAAAAAAAGAATCATCGAAAGCGGCTCACGTAGAACAAAGTTATGAGGTAGCACACATAAAAAAAAACATACAGTCGAATTGAGTACCTTCTCCTTTTTAATTTGGTAGAAAAAATAACCAGATGGAAGTTAGCGTAGAACATTCTTTTTTTTAACTAAACTGTGTGGCAATTAATTGCTCCATAAATGCTCCAGCAGAATCCGAAATTGCTCCACCTCTATTGTTATTAGTTATTTTTTAATTAATTTTTAAAAAAATTAAGTATCAAAAATTTAATTTTGCTATAAAGTATAAAATATCTACTTTTTTAAATTAAACTGTGTGCCAATTAATTGCTCCTTAAATGCTCCAGCAGAATCCGAAATTGCTCCACCTCTATTGTAATTAGTTAATTTATAATTAATTAAAAAAAAATTAACTATCACCAATTCAATTTTGCTATAAAACATAAAATATCTACGTTTTAAAATTAAACTGTATGCCAATTATTTGCTCCTTAAATGCTCCAGCAGAATCCGAATTTGCTCCACCTCTATTGCTATTAGTTAATTTATAAATAATTTTTAAAAAATTTAAGTATCGAAAATTTAATTTTGCTATAAAACAGAAAATATATAGTTTTTAAAAATAAACTGTATGCCAATTATTTGCTCTTTAAATGCTCCAGCTGAATCCGAAATTGCTATACCTCTATTGCTATTAGTTAATTTATAATTAATTTTTAAAAAAATAACCAGAAGGAAGTTAGCGTAGAACATTATTTTTTTTAAATTAAATTGTATACCAATTAATTGCTCCTTAAATGCTCCAGCAGAATCCGAAATTGCTCCACCTCTATTGTTATTAATTAATTTATAATTAATTTTTAAAAAAATAACCAGAAGGAAGTTAGCGTAGAATATTATTTTTTTAAATTAAATTGTATACCAATTAATTGCTCCTTAAATGCTCCAGCAGCATCCGAAATTGCTCCACCTCTATTGTTATTAATTAATTTATAATTAATTTTTAAAAAAATAACCAGAAGGAAGTTAGCGTAGAACATTATTTTTTTAAATTAAATTGTATACCAATTAATTGCTCCTTAAATTCTCCAGCAGAATCCGAAATTGCTCCACCTCTATTGTTATTAATTAATTTATAATTAATTTTTAAAAAAATAACCAGAAGGAAGTTAGCGTAGAACATTATTTTTTTAAATTAAATTGTATACCAATTAATTGCTCCTTAAATGCTCCAGCAGAATCCGAAATTGCTCCACCTCTATTTTAATTAGTTAATTTATAATTAATTTTAAAAAAAATTAAGTATCGACAATTCAATTTTGCTATAAAACATAAAATATCTACGTTTTAAAATTAAACTGTATGCCAATTATTTGCTCCTTAAATGCTCCAGCAGAAACCGAATCTGCTCCACCTCTATTGCTATTAGTTAATTTATAAATAATTTTGAAAAAGAGTGATCCCATTTGAGTAATAGCGCCATCATCAATAGAATGTAGTAACATTCTATAGTAAAAGTCATTTTATCGAATAAAAATTGATTGACTCTCAAAAGTGGTACGTATAATAGATGCTAAATGGCATAAACCCAAAAAATAATATTGATGGGTGAGTTTTGAAATTATGGATTCTTAGGAATGGATTAGACAACCATCTTAATAATTTTCTTGTGTTAGTGCCATCTAGCGTCTTTTCTACGTACCACCATGAGAGTTAACCAATTTTGATTTGATAAAATGACTACTTATAGAAAAAAAGAAACAGATGGTGCTATTAAAAAAATACGTATATAATAAATAGTAATTACCTAATTAACAAACAAAACAGATATGTCTCTTCTTAAGATCGAAGAAGATTATGCACTGTGACACATCTGTATATAATTTTATGTAAATAATGTAGGCCATAGAAATAATTGTTCCGGGTCTGGATGTTTGTCCTTGTGAAATTTATGTTTGTAAACTGCCTCCACGACACAGGAGAAAATCCTAGTGTGGGTGTAACGTTTTTTTACAATTGAAATTGAAAGATTGAACCCTTATACTTCTTGTTGATTTTTGTATTACCTTTATTAAAGTTACCCTTATGAATAAATAAATATAATTACGTATGTAGAAATAAAATTGATTTTCATCCTAATCAATCATTGGTGCGAGGATATTGTCTGCCAGCATAAGTAATAAGCAGGCTAAGTTACAAGGTGCTCAGTTCAAAAATTTGTAGGTAGGTATATTACTTTTCAATACGTGACACGTAAAAATTAACAATAATCAAAAACACATCTACGAAACATCCTATTTATTTCTTTATTCTTTATTGCACCAAATATTTGTACAAAAGGCGAGCTATCTATTTATTTACCTATAGTGAATAGGTATCTTTTAAACTCACAATTTTCAATGCTTAATTTTTAATATATAATTAATTATAAAATTTCATAATTAGATAATATATGAAAATACATAATTCTAATATAATGCAACAAATATACCGAATAAAAAAATTAAAACACATTTATCGTTGTACGCTGTGTGTATTTCCATAAATTAGTTTATTGATGTTGAAAAAATAATACTACGTTCTTACCTACAATAGGGCAATATATTGAAACGAGCGGCGCGCCGCCGGCAAAATGCTCAAGGTCGTTCGCATGGAGTAGCCCCTTAAGAAATAGTCTCGTACACTTACTTAGCTGTCATGTTGCCTATTCGTTTATTCGAATTTCCATCTTAGCTTTATATTTATATATTTTTATTAATTTTCTGTGTTAAATTTTAAAAAAAAAGTATAAATTATATTAATACTTATATATATTATGTAAGTTATTTATATGTATCTATAATTAATATAATAAAGCGGAAGAGTTTTTTTGTTTTTTTGTTTGTTTAAACGCGCTAATCTCTGGAACTACCAGTCCGATTTGAAAAATTATTTTTGTATATTATAGCCAAATTCATGTGGAATAGTATAGGCTATCTAACATTAAGCTATATCACTCAGCTAGCCTAAAATAAGGATATTTGTTAAGCAAGACAGAAGAAAACGCACTCTCGAAATGATTTATCCGCGTACGCTGGTGTTATCGTTAGGGATACGTAAATAAAATGTTCTAGAAAAATATAGATCTTTACTCCGTCTCAAAAAAAGTCCGCGATACCATATGTCTATTTCTTATACATAAGCCATAATTAGGTGTTTTATGAAAAAAATATTGAAAATTAATAAAGTGAGCGTTATTATTAGGCATGGCCTATTTATCCTTACGAACGAAAGTTACTTCATCATCAAGACAATTTTATGAAGATAAGCCTTGTTCTTTATACCATGCTATTTGGACTCATAGTTTAAGAGATAATGTAAAATTAAAATAATTCAATACTTGGCTGGGCGCGCGAACGGCACATAAACCTTAGCCGCCCGGTGAGAACTGCGAGAACTGCTCAACCGGGAGGGGGAGGGAAAGTGGATAAAACTTAACTTCGCTCTACATCATACATAATATGCGGACAGATAAAAGTGCTCCATTAATTATGTCAATTTTTCCATCCATTGCTATCAAATAAAATATTTAATTGCAATTATAAAATGCTTGAACTAGGTCATGTCGCGCACCTCCAACATGTGATAACGCGGATGAAATCGCGGGGCACAGCTAGTTACTTATATAAATATATTACAAAAGCGTTACAAAAAACAGTGTGTATCGTGAAGACACACGACAGAAGTGAAACTTTTGTATTACAGGGAAACATTTCAATTATTCATCAATGACTTTTGAATAACATAGATGGTGTGTATCATTCATTTATTTACATAAAATTATATACAGATGTGTCACAGTGCATCATCTTCTTCGATCTTAAGAAGAGACATATCTGTTTTGTTTGTTAATTAGGTAATTACTATTTATTATATACGTATTTTTTTAATAGCACCATCTATTTCTTTTTTTCTATAAGTAGTCATTTTATCAAATCAAAATTGGTTAACTCTCATGGTGGTACGTAGAAAAGACGGTAGATGGCACTAACACAAAAAAATTATTAAGATGGTTGTCTAATCCATTCCTAAGAATCCATAATTTCAAAACTCACCCATCAATATTATTTTTTGGGTTTATGCCATTTAGCATCTATTATACGTACCACTTTTGAGAGTCAATCAATTTTTATTCGATAAAATGACTTTTACTATAGAATGTTACTACATTCTATTGATGATGGCGCTATTACTCAAATGGGATCACTCTTTCTCAAAATTATTTATAAATTAACTAATAGCAATAGAGGTGGAGCAACTTCGGATTCTGCTGGAGCATTTAAGGAGCAAATAATTGGCATACAGTTTAATTTTAAAACGTAGATATTTTATATTTTATAGCAAAATTGAATTGTCGATACTTAAATTTTTTTTAAATTAATTATAAATTAACTAATTACAATAGAGGTGGAGCAATTTCGGATTCTGCTGGAGCATTTAAGGAGCAATTAATTGGCATACAGTTTAATTTAAAAAAGTAGATATTTTATACTTTATAGCAAAATTAAATTTTTGATACTTAATTTTTTTAAAAATTAATTATAAAATAACTAATAACAATAGAGGTGGAGCAATTTCGGATTCTGCTGGAGCATTTAAGGAGCAATTAATTGGTATACAATTTAATTTAAAAAAATAATGTTCTACGCTAACTTCCTTCTGGTTATTTTTTTAAAAATTAATTATAAATTAATTAATAACAATAGAGGTGGAGCAATTTCGGATTCTGCTGGAGCATTTAAGGAGCAATTAATTGGTATACAATTTAATTTAAAAAAATAATGTTCTACGCTAACTTCCTTCTGGTTATTTTTTTAAAAATTAATTATAAATTAACTAATAGCAATAGAGGTATAGCAATTTCAGATTCAGCTGGAGCATTTAAAGAGCAAATAATTGGCATACAGTTTATTTTTAAAAACTATATATTTTCTGTTTTATAGCAAAATTAAATTTTCGGTACTTAAATTTTTTTAAAATTATTTATAAATTAACTAATAGCAATAGAGGTGGAGCAAATTCGGATTCTGCTGGAGCATTTAAGGAGCAAATAATTGGCATACAGTTTAATTTTAAAACGTAGATATTTTATGTTTTATAGCAAAATTGAATTGTCGATACTTAAATTTTTTTTAAATTAATTATAAATTAACTAATTACAATAGAGGTGGAGCAATTTCGGATTCTACTGGAGCATTTAAGGAGCAATTAATTGGCATACAGTTTAATTTAAAAAAGTAGATATTTTATACTTTATAGCAAAATTAAATTTTTGATACTTAATTTTTTTTTAAATTAATTATAAAATAACTAATAACAATAGAGGTGGAGCAATTTCGGATTCTGCTGGAGCATTTATGGAACAATTAATTGCCACACAGTTTAGTTAAAAAAAAGAATGTTCTACGCTAACTTCCATCTGGTGAAAAAATAATTTACTTTTGTGAAACGCCTAAAATACTCGTCTTAATGATAATTTTGTGAGATACCAAAAATATTTCACTTACAATTATTGTCAGTGCTAATTTAACACATACTTAGATACACAGGAACTATAGAGTGTTTTCTCCTTTTGAAAATGAGTGCAATCATGTACCAGAAACTTATTTTTCACTTAGGTACTTTTAACAGAGAACCGTGATGGCTTAGGGGCTAAACGTTTACGTTGTTGTAATGTCACAGTACGTGAGTAGCCTGGGTTCGATACCCGCCGGCACCAATGAATTAGTTAACTGCAATTTGAAGCGTTGATTTAACACGTGTTTGGCATTGAAGGAATACATCGTAAGAAAACTGAGAAGTTATAAAACTATTTCGAAAACATGTGAAGTCCACCGCCACGCATTGGGGCAGCGCGGTAGACACGTCCTCACCCAAAATCCCCTCTCAGAAATGAGAGGAGTCTATGCCCAAGAGCGAGACGTATATAGGCTGTATCTTTACCTTACTTTACTACTTTTTACAATAAAAACCGAACTTATAATAATGTCAATCACTGTATACTCCTACAGAGCGCGAGGTGGATGCAAAAGTGGAACAGGGAAAGCCGGTGGCTCAAACGCTCTCTACGGCAGTGCCGCTTTGGACTCTCGAGTACTCTGGGCGGCTTTAACCCCAAGAGGCACCCGCCACTTCGTAGCTGACACATATCCCCATGACGAAACCGAAGACCATCACTACGAATGCGTCGAGCCACCGCTATACAAGCTCGGCCCACCTGAAGATTTGGCTATAACCCGACACTTTAACGTTGAGTATGAAGACCCGGCTCCTTTAATCGAGAGCTACACGGACAGGACTGAGGAGTACTTCCGACACGGGATGGAGACTCTACACAGAACCAGGCCGTTGGTTTCTTCGCCAACTAGGATCGAAAGACCGAACCTGCCTCCTCTGAACCTCCAGCCAAGGACTCTACGCAGGGCTCCGCATTCGAGGCGCGTCAGCGATGCCAACAACTCCGAGAAATCGGCCATCTGAAGCGAGAGTGGCGCGGTCTTTTCCGTCGCCGATTCAACCGATACTGATTATAACGAGTGGCAATCGATTGGCGACTCGAACGTCGATCGACTCGTCTGAGGATCACATTCATAAACCTTAACATTTAACAATGATGCCCGTAATTATTTTTTTGCAGACAGTGTTTAAATCCAAAATGTAATTTAATAGTCCTTTAACGTTTACAGTTCGACTAGTCTTATCCACTTATTGATATTTACTATGCATTTTACTTACTGGTAACACATGCATAAAGTATATCACATCTTAAAAGTTTACATAGTGTAATTTGTAAGAAAATAGCAAATTTTTGAGTAATAATTTTATACAGCAATTAATATATAATTAGTTATAGCCACATAATTTTTAGGATATAATAGATATATACCTATACTTACAGTGAATTTATTTGTTATTTGTACATTTAATTTAAAGGCGATTTATGACAAAAAAAAATAGAAATAGAAATTAAGATAGTACACCGCCAGTTCCAAATTCATATCAAACCAATTTTTAACGTTTACCCAAATAATGAAGTAGGAAATAAGTGAACGAGTGAATGGATTAATGAATGATTTATATTTATAACTATGTTAATTTTTATGGTGTCGATCTATGTCTGCAAAGTATACAGTGTAGGTGCACAGATCTATTCTTCTTCTTTTTTTAAACTGGTTTTACGGCTCTGGGTTCTAGCCCTTCTGAGCCTATCTATTCTTCTATTATCTGGTGTAGTGTAGAGTAATGTAAGCACCATCAAAGCAAACAAGCAAATATCACAGATAAATATGTTTTACACATTAAATAAATTTCCCTCTAGCTTAATATTATTATAGTCATTTTATACAGTCGGTGTGCAATGTAAATATGGTTGACATTTTCTCTAATTATAAAATATCTGTCTATAAATTATGTATTGGAAATCAAAATTGTTTTGTGGCTTTAATCATTTTATGGCGTGATTGCTTATGTTTGTAGCTATAGAGTTGTAGATAGTAATTTATTCCGCAACACCTAGTGGTTAAGGCCGCGAACAATTTTTTCACATATTGTTGGTTTTCTCTTTTGCAGTGCGATTGTGTGACTCTGATGGAAATCGTTGTTGGCTTTGTTTTTTTATCGTTTGCTATAAGATTCTACATATTGTGTAAATTAATCAGTATTGATATTAACTTCTATATTATACTGTATGTACATGTCTTATATACACCCATATTTTGTAATTACCAAAAAAAAGTGCTCTCGGTGTCTGTTATTAATCACATTTAGATAGAAAAACTTAAAATAATTAATTAAAAAACATATCTCAAAAAGGATAATAATTAGTAACTCGTTTATTATTGATTGACTCCAATGCGATACATTCACAAATCGCTTGCTGTCTCGCTCACGCGCCGGCCGGCATTCGTTATGTGCAGGGAATATAAAATTGCGTGGTTTTGTGAGCCGCTGAAGTAAGCGATAGAATATAAAATACGACCAGTGAGAACGTAGGGTGCTGCACGGCTAGCATGGGCTAGGGACAAAATTTTTATCCCCCGATTATATCCACTAACAAGAGATAAAATTATCTTGTCCCGATGCCAAATCACGGCAACGGGGAGAAGTATATCCCCGTTTGACATAACGAGTAGACATATATCTTCCGTCCGTAGCATGGAGCCAAATTAAAGATAAAAAATTATGCTTTGTTGACATTTGAAAGAGACAATTCTATCCTAGTTCATTGGATGTGGGTTTAAGTTTAATTCATACAAAAAATATATCTAAGTCTAAGTCTATCTCCCATTTCATCTACTGTAGATATTATATCCACCAGTGTGCCCATGCTCGAAGGGTGGATAAAACTAAGCGAGGAGATAAACATTTTCTCCTTTCCCTGGGGATAAAATTGTCTCCTACCCATGCTAGCCCCGCTGTACTAATGGTGGGAGATGGAACGGGGGCGTCTTATGAATGGAGTGCGTAAGTTATTGCCTTGTATAGTATTTTCTAGTAGGTACTGTGCCAATAAAATTACGCCAGTTTTTGTTTAGAAACAAACCTCGATAACATTGTGATAGATAAATAATAAAAAATTCTGACAGTGCCATTATCACTAGTAGTATCTGCTACAATTTTTAGGTATTTCTTTAGAATCTGTGGCATGAATATATGGTCGCCGAGTGGGCGAGGGAGGGAGGGCGTTTTGTAGAGTCACCCCTCACTTCCATTTCCTGCCGGACGTGCTTAGTTTTTTTTTATAAATTTTTAAAAATCTCATTTTGAGGTTATGTTTTCGTAATGTTTTTGACAATATAAACCTGATTTGTGGGGGAAGAGAGTTGGGGGAGGGTAGCCCAACGCTACTCAACGTGGTGCAGTCGAGGGAATCTCGATCGACGGATTCCCGCTTGGCGGGGCTCCTATTTATGGGTGGTTTATAAAAGAATAACCACGAAGGGGATGGCGGAGTCGATTGAGCGAGCGAACAGACCCCGCCATCCTCTTCTAACCTAACCTGTCCGAGTCGGGGTGCCCCAAGTCCCGAGCTCGCTTCGCTCGCTCTTGCACCAAATAAAACACCAAAATGTTAACTTTTATAATTAATTTAATAAATAAACATAGGTATTTTATTACTTCCACCATTTCCAAAAACGTCGTAAAATAGCAAGCAAAACAGGAGGCAGATAATAACAATAAGTTAGTGATTTATGAATATTTTAAAAAATAATTTTATATATTTCGACGGAGCTCCGGCAGCTAAAATTGCATGTTATTTTTTAAAACAAATACAGACCATGCTCTATTGCCATCTCTTTCTAATAATTATATTGTTATTTCGTTTTCGTATCATTTTTAATTGGATATAACCTCAAAACTATAATTATCGATGTCTCGAAAACTAAAGATTTCCGGCATAAAAATTAGCTAGATGGTAATCAATAGCATCATTGCCTATCACCTAAAGATAAAATGATCACTTAATTCGTGCCGCAGATTACTAAAGCCAACCCAATTTTTATTTAAAATGCAAGTTTTCATACCTATATGGTGACACTGTGTAACAAATAACTCAGTCCTAAATAGCAATATCTCGTGAGCGGTAAATTTTTAGCCCTCATTGGGTGATACCCACCTGCAAACGATTTCCACTAGTTACAAAATCGCACTACTGGTTGTATTCAGAACGTCTCCGTATTTTATAAACTGCAACCAAACCTACCTCCGGATTTGTCCGATACATCAAGCACGGGTAGGTTAGGACGTGTGAATGTGAATGCCTCTGTGCTTCCTTTAGTTGAAAGCTTTCGATTATGCAGAAATCGTCGCTACGGTCAAGAAACCTGTCTGGAGATTGTCGTCATTATCATCATTACTATTATTTATTAATCATGGCTAGTACATTATGCATATTTAATTTATAATTACAAATGTCGATTGAGGGTTTTGTAAAACACAATATTAAATGGATGTAAAAATTTCAAGATTTAAAAAAAGTATTTTAAATTAAACACAATAAAAATATAAAACGTAATTTATTAAGTGTTCAAGTTTCCCTATTGCCATAGGTACATTAAATATAAAATTCTATTTTCAACGATGCGCTTCATAATGTTTACTAGTGCATCATCAGTGCTGGATTAAGCAAGCACGGGGCCCGTAGCAAATTCTATCGAGGGGCCCTTGTTCTGCTATGCTGCTATTCTTAAATACAAAGTGGTAAAAAACAATTCAATAATTAATGCGTTTATTTGCCATCTCTAGGTTACAATTTTGTTGGTGTTTCATAGTACAGTAGATTACTACAGGCCTTGTTAGACTCTGACAAATACAAAATGTCAGAAATTACATTGTGCTGGCAATTTAAGTGACGATACCACACAATTAATTGTAAATCTTTTGAGAGTTCCGTACCCAAAGAGTAACCAACGGGACCCTATTACTAAACATCCGCTGTCCGTCCGTCTGTCTGTCAGCGGGCTTTATCTCATGATCCGTAATAGGTAGACAGTTGAAATTTCCACAGAATGTGTATTTCATTCATACGATGCATTGCTTGCTTGATGTTATTAATTTGATAACCTCCTCGGCTCCTCGCATGTTGTTTTATATAAATATAACGTATGTTCTTATCCTTTATGGATATAAGTTTGTCGTATATTCGGAAAAACCGCTGGCGACAGTATATTCCTCAGTTTGGTCGTGCGAAGTAGAAAATTCCGCGTAAATCGCACAATAGTGGACCGCCAGACATCGAGATGATGAGGATGGAATTTAAAGTTCTGTCGCAGTGAACGATGATGGAATTCAGCAGCTGGAATTAATCCGAATAATTCCTATGAACAATCCCAGTGGTATATGCGGTAGAAGATATGCAACATCTCTTCGCAAGGTCAGTGCATCAAGCCGATCGGAAATAACTTGATCGTCGACGATTCGAGCCACTCTCCGTTGAATATGGTCTAGTGGAAGGAGCTGATACTGGGGTGTCCCGACCCGGAAACGAGAACAGTATTCCATATGAGGCTAACCCTGCCGTTGGTAAAGCTGCAAGCGGTGGTCCGGTATGAGATACTGTATTCATCTACTGAACACACCAAGCTTTTTTCATGTCATTTTAGCCTTCCCTTCCAAGTGAATGCGGAACGAAACGTCTCTCGGAATATCGATGCCAAGGATTCCGATGCTGGCTGAGGCAACCAAGAGAGTGCCCTGAAATTGAGGATATACGACAAAGGGGTTCCTTTTTGTGGTAAACGCGCAAACCTGAGTCTATTGGAGGTTAAACTGGAATAGATTTAGTCGCCCCCAATCCGAGACTTTGTACAACAAAGACTCGACTTCAGACACGAGTTTGTTCCAGCATTCGACGACAGATTCCCGAGAAATATTAGCACCGACGTTGTGTATAATGCATATAATGCATCGCCAGTGCTGTCGTCTGCATAACAATAAATGTTACTAGTATGCACCGTATTATTGATATGCAGAAGGACCAG